CTGCAGGCCTCAACAGTTGATCTACACGATGGGAGGTTTAAACCACACTGATCCCTTTGGAAGCAGCTGAAGCGATTCAAGCTGTCATCAGGCCTGGAGCGTAGGAGCCATCCGTTGAGCTGACTGCCCTTGAGCAGCCTCCATGGAGGAGCTCCTGGGAGCCCTTCGAAACCACTTCAGTGCGACAGCAGACATGCCTCGAACCACGAGTTCCTTTAAATCTGCATCCCGCTCCCAGGACTACCCAAAGCTCTGCGTTGGGAACAGAGCTACACTTAATTACACATCCCCAGCTCTGCGCTGGGCCCCCGATGAGAAGCAGAGGAGGTGAGATCTCGTTCTCGAGTGTTTCCAGCATGCAATCAACTGCCGTTGAGAGCGGAGGGCTTTGATCGCTCCCACCGCTTGCATGGACAAACACTGCCCGCATCGCTCTCGAGATGTCACTCAGTTCAGGCCAGCAATGTTCAGAACTAGGAGCACTTCGGAGCTCTGGCTGGATAGGGACATCTTTACACTCACATCTTAGTGGGAAGGGCAGCTCAGCATCCTTGCTGGTGCCATGTAGAGCTCAAGCGCCACCAAGGGCAGACCAGGGGGTGTACGAGTGTCTGCTGCTGGCATGTTCAGAAGAAGCCCTGGTGATGCAACCCCGTCACTGTAAAGCGTTGCTGGCAAGCCTGGGAGGTCCCAATGGACCATGCCCTCTCCTAGAGCACATAGGACATTTGCTGCATGACACATAGGTGTTGGAGAGTTAGCAGTTCCCAGGATACAGTTTCAATACACATATTTGTAAAGCTACCTTAACTCTTCATTTTGGGTGTGCTCCACAGGACTGGGTAATGGCTCAAGGTCTCCATGCAGCTGCCTCCCCTGGGACAACTCAGCCTGTGGCACTGCTTCCTTGGCCAAAATTATGCCTTGAAAAGCCCATCCAACACTAAACTAGAATCACTAACATTTGAGCATTGATGGCTTAAACTACAACGGATGACAAGGCCCCTATTGTCAGAGCATCGGCATCAACCCAACGAAGACGAGACATCCCTAATAAGACACAGGGATAGTGTAACTGTCCCGAGCAACGACATTTTAAATGATCAGAAGAAAGGTCAAGGGAGGATTTGGTGGTCCTTCTAGGTCACCTTCCTCATTGCTAGCACAGGGCCCCTTCTTTTGATGCAGAGCTGGTGAGGATCCGCAGGCAAACGGAGGCGCAGGGGCAGCGAAGGCTGCAGCAGGCAACCAGTGCCTTCTGCGGGCAGGGTTATCCTCATTAAAAAAGAAACAAAAAAGCTGAAGCAGGGGAAGGAAAAGTCATACGGTACATGGTGATGCTGAGAATTTTTTTCTGGCTCCATTAACTTCACCCTGAGAATCAGATGCAAATTTAGGCGCTTTGGGAGCTTGCTGGTGTCAAGAGGCGAGAAGAAATGAAATCACTCCATCTTCCTCCTAACACGCACTGGAGAGCTGAGATCTGCCACCAGAACGAGCTGCATTGCGGCGCAAGCTGCAAACTAACTCCACTTAATCCCGGGGATGGCCAGCAAGCCCTTCCTGATCCGCAGTCCTGCTCACCCTCGTGCTGCAGAGCAGCACTGACGTCCACGAATTTCACCTGTAACTCAAGGGCGGCCAGAGCCCGAGTCCTTTTTTACATTTCTTTCCTTTGTCACAGGCAAACCTGGAAATGATGCATCTTTGGGTTTTATCACCAACATATCTGATTCAGTAATGAACTGAAGGCTAACCTTTATAAAGCGATAAGGGCAGCATATTTCACACTCGCCCCGGTGCCAAGTAGCCTTCAGAGCTTTAAAAACTAATTATACGCATAGAGACATGACTTTTCATTCCTTTTGCCCCTTGCCAAGTTTTGAGCTACTATAATATGCTCAATCAGGTCTCTTTGTCTGGCCGACCCCACAGGAATATTAATGGGGAGATTCTGTTAGCATCTTACCCTGCCTTTTGACATCTATTTGCAGAAAAAAAAAAGAAGATAGTGGCAGGTTAAGACAACAGAATCAATCACTGTCAACGCAGATATGCATGAGGTTTTTTGGAAAGGCACTGCTCTTGGAGTCTTCACTCTAATTAAACAAATGAGTTACAGGAAACCTGGGGAGGGGAAGGGAAAGAAAACAGGGCACTGGCATCTCCTCCTGCTGCAGTTCAAAACGAAGTGCTAAACTTTCAGGACGTGTTTAATTTAGCAGCATTTGTAAAGTGATGCTACCGAGGAGTTCAGGCGCAGCTGTCAGTGCTGGTTTATGTCCAGGCTGAACACACTCCCATGTTTCAGTTTCCTTCCCTTGCATGAAAAATGGAGCATGGCTGAGAGGACTTCAATCACAGCTTGCCCTCTGGAGCCCGTTAAGGAAAATACTTGTTTAATGCAAAGCTTTTGTTCCCCTTTAAACATGAGTTTGCTCTTCAAGAACAACTGGGCCTCTTTGACAAGACTCACTCCCTTCCCTGCACCAGGTGCCACTGGAGGGACTGTGGAGTAGGTTCTGCTCAGTGCAGTTTCCTAAACTCTTCCCACAGATGTTCCCTTAGAGAAAAAGGAGATCTCATCCTTCCTCCCAAGATATCTTCACCTTTCTCTTGTCTCCTCTTGTTGCTCCAAATCTTCCTTTTAATGAAGGGGCAGTAACTCCTGTCCCTGATAGCTGAAGGGCAGGGTCTATGAACACACATGGGTACCTATACATCAAGCTGATGGTGTTCCTTCAGATATCTCGGATGGTTAAACACAGGATGAAATGAGCTCTCCCAGACCCTCTCATCACAGTGATTGGAGCCTTTTTCGTGTGTCTTCAGGACCCGTTTCCCTCTGGTTGGGCAGCGTTCAGGCAGCGAACGCTACGGCAGCGTCTTGCCCAACTCATCAGCAATACCAAGATGAAGAGAAAAAAGCAACGGTAGCAAAGAAATCATGTTACTTTGTATTAGGAGAAAGTCTGATAAAATATGCTTAAGCAGAAAGAAGATGACCAAAAAAAGGACAAGCAATTAATTTTATTTTTAAGCTTGCAGGAGAGACCTATTCAAGCATGGCATGGATTCTCAAGGAACTTTATAAGCCATGTTGCTTACCATCAATGGCTAAAAAGGGCCCAGGCCAATTATTATCATTTAAATTAATGCTACAGGAGCATTCAAACAGCACTCTGAGGAACTGGAGCTTAAAATACGATGCTCTGTGCAAACAGAGAACCAAGAAAAGAAATTTGTCCTCATATCTAGGTGGAAAACAAGAAGCAGAACAGGGCATAGAGATTTCATAGATGACAAATAGGCCTTTCCACTCTAACATACCTGATACAATCAGAGGAAATGTTTCAACGAATGGATGATAAAATAACATCAGAAAGAAATGGATGTTAGGATCAAGATTTTGGCTCTGCTAAAGGCACCATGAGCTTGGCCCTCAGCTGAAGTCTCCCTGGCAATTCACACTCCCAGGGGAAGTTCAACCCGTAGTGCCCAGCATTACCCCATGGGAACTCTGTATTTTCCAAGCATATTGTTCAGAAATCACAATCTCGTAGGACATCCCAGCTCATGCCAAGGGCTGGTTAAATTCCCAAACAAGTCCGAGCAGAAGAAACAGAGGAGAAAGGTGAAGATGGGGGACAGGACTGAAGCCACAAACCTCAAATAAGCCTTAAGCACAAAGACCTCACAGGCTCTTGCATGCTTCTCTCTTCCAGCATCACCACAGATTTCCGAACCACTGTCATGCTGATGATCCCCACTCCAATATGAGCAAACACTTCTGTGACTAGACATATTTTACACTCTCTGTCGTTCCTCTCCCCAGACTGCGTCATCTTTATGTTATTGTTCCTGAATTCACATGAATAAGTAAAATGACAATCTGGGCAAATTAGACTTTAATTTTCAACAGCTTCACTTACTCCTACAGTTTTATAGCCAAATGCCAATCAAGGAAGTGATGAATAGTGATGGGAATCACAGGCAGCTCTGTGACTTGTTGGAGTGACAGAGGGCTGCTTTCTTCATGATGCGCCAATGATTCAGAAACTAAGGAATTTACAGTGTGTGGGGAAAGGCAATCTGTCCATTTGTCTCTTCAGAAGTTGTTTTAGGCTCTTACTTCCCTTAAAAAATAGGCATAAACAACCTTGTTTGGATACAATAATCTGCCTCTGAAAGAAACCCCTCTGCAGCTGATGTTTTTTTTCAAGACCTGTGACCTTCCTGCTCTCTTTACACAGCTCCTGGGCTTGGGACACAGGTGAAACATCATTGGGTCATGGCTCGAACGCAGGACAGCTCTGGTGACAGTGCCAGCTCAAGGAACTCCTGCCCAGTACAACCAGTTGGCCTTTCCAGCAGGTCACAGCGTTGTTGGCCGGAATGGTCAAGGCAGCACCATGAAGCAGAACAAGGAATCTCCTTAATTAAAAATTATTCTTTCTCTTTCTCTGACCTTCCTGATCTGGTTCACAACACAATTCTTCAATCATCAGCCGTGTCTGAACCACCGAGCAAGCAGGAACAATCAGCAAGGGCAGGAAAGCAGCAAGCTGGCACTGCCATTGAAACCTCTGTGTTGAACTATGGCCTTGCTCTTCTGTCCTTGCTGGATCACCGAAGGAGCTTCACTTTCTCCTTTCTCTTGAACAGCAAAGAAGTTCAGGCAGGTTTATCTCTCAGTCCATGATGGACAGGGACTGATAAGCAGGAGTCCAGAAAGCTCCCAGAAGCAATAAATTTTCCCAGGGAGTTCTTGGCACAGTCAACAGAACTGAATCCTAATAACATAGAGAAAGTCTTTGGACAGTGAAGTCTCAGTTCACCAAAGCTGGTGCCTGCCTATATCTTAGTGGCACGAGGACATAGGCTTTCTTATGTTTCTGAAGGAGAGACCACATGTCTCAACACTCTCTCACACCTGGGGACACAACAACTACACAAACACCATTATTTTGTATTACAGCTTCAACTCTGAAATATTTTACCTTATAAAGTCTTCCTCCTCCTCCCTCTTGGGTCTCAATTGCTTGGGCTGAGCCATGTTGCTCCAGTTGGGCAGAGATTTCAGGAGCCTGCTGATATCGTCGTCCTTGGCCCAGGAGGCGCTGATGACCAGCTTTTCATCCGACTGCACGATGCTCCTAGAGAAACCAGCAGCAAGCACATTAGTGTGGAGCAAATCGTTCTCACCATGTGATCCCACAATTATTCGATAAAATCCCTATCGCATACAAATGCGCAAAGCAAACTGCAGTGATCAACGGGTCCAAACAGCAATTCAACAAAGAATGTCATCTTCTGGGCAAAGGAAGTCAACACCTCATGGATGTAATGTGAGCTCCTCTCACACTCACCTCTCTAGATGTACCTTTATTAGGTCCCTGAAGGGATAAGGCACCAGATCCTCCCTTCTCTTGATGTCATTTGACTTTTACACAACAAAGATGGTGATTCTGTGTATAAGAGAGGGAGAAGGTAGTTTCTCTCTGGCTCATTTGGTCTCTGCAATCTCAACTGAGCCTGCCAGTCTCTGCCGATCGCGTTGTGACTGCAAGGTGGAAACCTGCCCAGTGAGGGCTGGGTGGAAGCCACCAACTCAGTGCAACTAAGTGTCCCAACTTGGGGAGGACATCTGAAGCAATGGAAGGAAATGAAGGGCCCTTGATCTGCTATCCAAAACATCTAACAATAGAGATCGAAGGGCCCTTGATCTGCTCTCCAGCTATCCAAAACATCTAACAATAGAGATTTCAGCTCAATCGTGTTTATGGGCAAAACTGAATCAAAGATCACAACACATCCCAATTATGAAGACTTTCCCCGTTTCACATTTTTGGCAGTGTAACTAATATGAAATCCTCACTGGCAATTCCAGGAGACAAAAGTGATGCTACATTTGGAGAAGCCAGTGATTTCTGTGTCAGGATTGCTCCTGAATGACCACCAGCGCATACAGCCCAGTCCTCAGTGGTATTTCCTATTTCACTGGTTCTGGTGAGCTCGACCACCAGTTCCCAGTCCTCAGTGATGTTTCCTATTTCACTGGTTCTGGTGAGC